CTTATATGACACAGTATGCTATACTGAAAACAGCATTGAACTATACAGCACGGAAGAAGCTCATTAACTGACACCTATCCAAAATTCTCATGGGCACAGATGCCAGCTGGCAAAGTAGGTCACATTTTAGACAGGCTCCTAAAAATCAAATTACCTCAGTTTGATGAGGTGATATGATGGAATGTGTACAACCCACCCACCCACTGCCAAGTGTAAGTTAAATAAACCCTGTTTTGCTGTATCACTCACAGAACATCAAAGCGTGGAAAAGAGATAAAAAGTCGAGCTAAACAGGCAAGAAGAGCCTGTCTTCAGCTCTTGACTCCCAGAAAAAGCGAGGCTGGAAGAGAGGTAACAACTGAACAACTGCTGCTTTCTGAGGCCCTCTTGAGGGACAGAAGGACCCAACATGGAAGTGTTACCTTGTAGAGAATCTGTAATAATCTTAACACCCCCTACACTAAAGAAGATTGAGTATGAGTGCCTGTTCATTTCCCTCTTTTCCTTTGGATCAAAAAAGGATGAATGCTCAAGGTCTCAAATTGTCTTTTATACATTAAAACATTCTGTCGACCATATGGATACAATCCTGATAAACCTGAAATTCTTCCCATTTTACTCTGCAGAAATACTCTACTTTTCCTCAAGAAAAATAATTACTTGCCAAGAATAATGTGTTACAGAAAAAAAGTCCATGAACGTTAAAGCATCAAACACTGTAACACCTACGGCAAGTCCTTCAAATCATAGACAGTACTTCGGTGTAACTATCTTCAACTGCGCCATAACGGCTTTGTGAAACTAAATACATGATTCTAATATTTCAAGAATTCAAAGCACACATTGAATGAAAATTTCACTTTTTTCAATAACTATATATGGTCCATCTAACCTGTGCAAGAACACTAGCTTTCACTCAAATAACTATGAAAAAATACGATGAATGAAACCTTATTGTATCACAGAACAAAACCTCTCTCATCTGATGTGAAAATGACCATATTCTCCAAGAGCAAGAAGCATCAAAGAATTTTTTTGAATGATAATTTGTATTTCTGAAATCATATGAAAAGGCTATTTTGGAATTTCAACAGAAGATACATTTTTTTCCTTCCATGAGGCTTAAAGAAAACATTACACTCACCACCTCTTGAGTAAATGCCTTTTACTAAAAGGTAAGGAGATCACCAATCATAAGCAAAGTTTCACCGTCCTCACCAACATCAGCTGTGTTCACCTTCCATATTTCAGAGGGATGCAGAAATTAATCTGAATCTAATCCCATTAGATGAATCGTACCTGATCCTGATAAGCCAGGAAGTTTTTTCACAGACCTGTGTATGTTCTGAATATTTTAAGTATTTCAAACAATCCTGTTTTCCCTATTCACCTCTTTTTTCCAATGCTGTAAAACAGATTCAAACAGCAAAGAAGTTGAAAACCACAGAGGTTGAGTCCCAGCTCAAAAATGCCACACAAATTATCCTTTAAAACTGGTTACAGGCCATCTGTTACAAGATCTTCTCCCTTAATTTTAAAAGTGCCAAATGGCAGGGAATAGACCATCCCCAAGTATACTACTGATAGTTAGAAAACTAAGCTTACATTAAACAAAATTCTGTGATTTCCAATTCCAGCTATTCAAAAATCTGTGATTCTGCCAAGATGGCTGAAAAAACCGTATTCCTTACACCCATATCAGTTACTAGTTACCAAGTAGCTACAAAAGAAAAAAAAAATGACGACAAAAACCCACAGTAAGAAATAGGTAAAGCAGCCAACAATTTATTCATAGGTAGACTATTTAGAAATTGAATGGAAAAAAAAAAAGGGGGGGGGGGAGACACACAAGGAAATATTAACAGAAATTAAAAAGAAAAATGGGACCAACAAAAACACATAAAAGGGACAAAAAAATTAGAAAAGAATAGATACAGGACAGCAACAGAGCATTCACATCTACAATAACATGTACAGTGAAAGACATAAGGGCATGTATAAAAAAAAATTCTAACATTCATTTTAGATGCCAGTGCTCTCCCTCCTACTATGTTTTCACACAAACCTTCCAGCAGCAACAGAAGATACCAAGCTCTGGGCATATAAAAGCAATTCCTATGCCAAAATTGAACAGGAGGCAACTATAAGGGGAAGATGTCTCATCAATTTCACTTAATCATTTACAACATTACCATCTACTCAATACTGAAAAGAAGTAACAGTAGATTTGTTTCTTCCCTTACACAGCTTCTGAGCTGTGTAGAATTAGCTTTCCTTCTAGCACAGCAAAAAAAACCTCCTGTCATGCATATCAGGGACACAGAGGATCAAGACTAGTTTCACGGTGAGCCTACCGTGAAACAATAAATACCATCTGTCATATTCAAGGAGGCAAGTGAATTACTAAAATGTTAACTAAGATATATACATCAGCTATAATTCCATAAAATGGAATTACTTCTTCTACATTGATTTAGTACATATTTGACAGACTGGGGGGGGGTGGGGGTGTAATTTTTATTTGTTAAAATAGTATTTCTACATAGGTACAATAAGAGAGAAGCCATTTTACATTGTTCTTTCAGAACGTTTCCAAAATGCTGATGCTGTAACTTCACCTCTGTCATGCCACAAGCATTTGTCAATGGTGAAATTACATGGAACAGTGAGCTTCTGGCAACTTGCTACTGCTTAAATACAGGAGTCTTACGCTTCCCCCATCTCATGTCTTCTCCCATGTTCATCCCTACCTATGCTGTACCTGTCACTGCATCTGCTCCAAAGCACATCATATTCTCTATTGAACCAATTCAGCTCTGTTGTAAAGCAAAAAAGTAGATAATTTTCCACTGAATTTTCCACTGAAAAGGAATGTTTTTCTAAATTAAAGACATCATTTACTTACAGTGGGAAGCAAACCATGCAAACCCAACCATGAATCATCTCTTCATTGCCTAAAGAACAATAGCTAATAGACTACAAAGTTACCATACACGCAGAGCAAATCTGAAATGCAATCAGTTGCAAAAAATGAAACTGTGGAGTATATCTCTGAAATACTGCACACAATTTTTTTTCCCGGAATCCAACAGAGAGAAAACATCACTCTACCTTACATATATTGAGCTTGTAAATATTTCACCCTACCAACTTAACTTTCCCATCCAGAACACAGCCATAAACGTAAAGAACAGATTTTCCCTGCAAAAAGGTATGTACTCCCCTCTCTGGCTAAATAACTTTTTACTAAGAAAGGAAAAAAAAAAAAAAGAAAAAAAACACACCAAAAACATTTCAAGCAAACTAAAAAGCACACAGGGCTAATCTGAAGAGAATGGGAGATGCACTCTAAATTATACTATGTTTGAAAAATGAGAGTAAAGTCCCAAATCCCACAATAATATAATACAGAAAACCTACAGAGAAAAATCATAAAGAATCTGCAGATGAGTCCTTGCATGTTCCCCCAGAACAGAAACCATATTGGGTACTGACTGCACTTTTTTATGTAATTGCCAGGCGTCAAATGCTTGACACTGGTAAAAAAAAAAACCACCAACAAAAAACCCCCCAAAAAATACAGACAGCCTTGCATAGAAATTATTTTGGAAGAGATTCTTAGTCCTCATGATGTGAAGAAGCACTATTACCACAAGTCATAACACAAAGAGGCGTTAGATGCAGAACGAAAATCAGCCTGGCTAAATGACTTGCTTGCATCCCTATCTCAAATTCACATCCGTCACAGTCAAAAGCTCATCTTGAAAGAATTGGGTTTTCCCTTCCTCTACAGCGGCTATCCCTTATTTATACTAATCCAGTAACTAAGAGTAATATTCTTCCAACTCTTCAAAGCTTGTATTATGCCCCTCATTAGTACTCAACACTAAAGACAGAAGTTGAGGAGGTTTTCTTTCTGATCATAAAAGGCGGTTGACAAATTAGCAGAGAATCTTTCTCAGAAAGAAATAAAGCATTTGTCTATTTCTCAGTTTTGTCAATCTGATTTTTGTTGAAAACTTATTTACAAGATCAGCTACTATCCTCCCTGTACTCTGTGATTCCCTCGGCAATAGAGTCTTCAGCTATACAAGGCTAATCACTATTCCTAAATCACTCCTAAAAAGCAAGGCATTTGTTCAGAAGACAACTTCAGAATTTAAATGAAACACTTAAGTCAGCCACCTGTTTTGGTCTATTTACAGGACTACTGGAGACATGACTCTTATCTGAAATGCAGTTTCAGTACATAAAGGCTCCAATTGCCAAGAAAATCCTTGGATTTCTACTGCACCTAATTTAGAAATTATGCACTGGAAAGAGTTTCTATTTAAAGCACAAGCATAATAGAAGTAGATGAAACCAATACCTTTGAGTAAATATATTCATGCTATTCTATTACTGCAGAAACTGCAGTCATTCTACTGCTGTTTTAACTGACATACACAGTGACTGGACAACAAATTTAATTAAGTTCATTTGCTCCATAGATTCACATTTTTTTTTTTTTTTATTTTTTTTGGCTGAACAAGGGGCAGAACAGGCTGTTGCTGATTTGATGTGCAACATTTGTTGGGTAAAGTGGCCACTACCTCAGAAGAGAAAAGGGGCCAACCATAATTGTCTTTTAGGCTGAGGGCACTCTTTGGACCTTATTCTCCATCCAATTTTTCCCATGAAAACCTTGAACATTACCCCCCCTTCCTCCCCCAGAAGAAACATCTTTCACACCTCTATTTCCATCGCCAGATGTGGTTGAAATCAAACATGTTGTTTCCCAGAAACTGGCAGGAGGTGGAGGGCAGATGGGAAAACAACATGGCTGTACAGACTACTTATTGCCTTGGAGAAACCAGACTAAAAGCAGTAGTTTACATTTTATGACAAGGGTTTCAAGTTATTAAGTACATTTGGTTAAAATATCTTAAAATACTCTACATTGCTCTATATTTAAAGTATTAAGGAGATAAGAAAACTGATGTGTCTTTTCAAATTGTTACCTCAACGATATCTGAGTTGGTTCTGCTTTCATGCGGCTCGTTGTATTCTGTGTATTTAAGTAGAACTTTGTCCATATCAGTGCTGGCATACTGAAAGAGTTTGTTAGAGCTGTTAAAAATGATGAGTGCTATTTCACAGTCACAGAGTACACTCAACTCATATGCCTTCTTCATTAATCCAAACTTCCTCTTCGTAAAGGTGACCTAGAGAAGAAATAAAAAAAAAAAAAAAATCATTATTCTTTAACACATGACAAGGGTTTGAAGGACTATAATCAAGCATTCAAGGAATATACCAAGTGAGCCTACACTATTTATTCCTGCTAACAAGCGACAGAACTGAACATGTGTACAAAGCTTAGAAGAAGAACTGCCTATCATATTTGGGTGTCACTTTTAGGGCCAATGCTCTATATTAGACTAAGCTAAACAATTACATCCCTCCAACTCTTCCACTGGTATATTACTACCAAGGAGAGGATATATAACTACCAAGGACAGTTAAAGTTTGTAGGATCCTCTAACCGTATCTCCTCCTGTTCAACCAACATTGACTTTCCAGGTATCACAATATTTTCTTCTGTGATTATCAGTTATTCTGTAACTAGTTTACAAGTTACTCACAACCTTAATTCTAGTAAAATCGAAGAAAACAGCAATATCAATGGAAGCAACATAGTTACTATGATTCTATAATTTCTAATTGTGCAAAGCTAAGAAATACGCTTATTTTGTTGCTATTAAAACCATCTAATCAGATTCACTTATACTTTTAAGCTGTTTTCTGCCACTTGAGAACATCATGAAACAATCATTCTGTCCAATTAGAACTGCTGTATGGAAATAAATCCATTACAGACCATCACAAAGGAGGATTTGCCCATTGGGGAAGGGGGAAGACAGTTACAAAAATCACCATCAATTATGAAAAAGAGTTTTAAAAAATTATTCCTTTCACAAGATTTCAGTTAGTTAAGAATATAAGAGGATCAATGTGTTCGACATCAAGTTGAATCAAGCACAGGTCTGGCGCTAAGGCCAGCTTTTCTTAAAGCACAATATTTTTACTCAATGTCCTCTTAAGTGTCTCAGAAAGGCACTTAATCTACTACTCTGAACTTAATGTTCTGAGACCTTTTAAATAAAGCTGCTGGTTTTGGATCTAGCCTTTCAATCTGAGCTTCAGTGCTGAAGGGTACACCTCTGTCTATGGCCATATTCACACCCCCATATTACAATCCAAAGTAGATGCCTCTGCTGTCAGGTGAGTGACCTACATGCCCTACATGTTTAACAGACAATCATGAGAATACTTTTGCAAGATTCGGAATGAAGTAAAACACAAGAAACAATCAAACCTGTTCTATGGGTTTCTATAGTTTAACATGTTAATTACCTAGGTGTACACCAAGTTTTTGGAAGATGGATGGGAAAATTCTGTGTATACACACCTCAAGGCATTTTTTCCAGAGATGAGTATCTCATGCATATTACTTTTTTAATACTATCCATAATACAAAATATATACTATCATTCCTATCACATAAATAGTCTTAGAGGGAAGCAGATGGATATACTAACAACATTATGTACATAGCATGCTGACAATAACTGTATTATTAAAACAGTATATGCACACTTTGCTCTTCCACCACAAATGTTTGCAGAGGTACTGTGGACCTGGGATTCCTCTCCAGCTATAAAACAGTATCCACGTCCATTTAAAAAAAAAAAAAAAACAACACACAAAAAAAACAACAACCTGTTTTAACATGTGCCACTTCCCCCAAAAATGCACTGTGCTTATGATTTTATGATTTTTGAAAACCTGGATTGTTAACACTTAGTCAACACTTAGTAGGAATGGAGGTAATGAACAGAAGACCTAGAAAGATAAGAATACGGAATGTCAGGCATATTATGATAACCATAGTTCCACCTAAGTTCCTGTGCAGTGTTTCTAACTTAGAAACTTCTTGGGGTTTAAAGACCACTGATCACAGAGCCTTTTCTGAGGCTTGAATAATCCGTGTTCAGACGAAAAGTGAGTACCTACCATATCTTTTTTATTCAACCCTTTTACAGCACATTTGGTGAGAAGCTCCATTAAGATACAGCTCTATCTCTGAAACAATTTTAACTAAGAGTGCTGTAACACATTCAAGGTTCAACTAGGGAAAGCAGATCTTTTTACCTACTTATTGTTTATCAATTACAATACGTTAGTGAGACAAGGTGCCAAAAAATCTGACAGACTTTACCTTAATGCATTTTCTGTTAGTATTTTATTTTCAGTTATTAATTCAACAAGTTGACCAAGTACAAATGTAGGTTTTACTGGGCTGTACTTTTCCCAAATGCAAGTGGAAATTTTACTATCCACATATAATACAACACAGCTGCTTTTTAAAAACAAATCTTGTGTAAGTCTCCTAGCAGTTCTGTCACTTTACATACTTCTTTCAGAACACTTGGGATTTATTTATCCTATCTTGGATGGGAAATTAAGAATTACTTTGTCTGGATTCCTCTGGGGATTTGGGGAAACTGTGGGTTTTTTTAAATAGCTGATGTTGTTCTTCTAGATACTTCAATTACAAGACACTTAAGAGATTATTACCCGAGCATGAGCAGGTATAGACAGATTCTACTGTTTAGTTTTTGTTAGGAAAAAGGCATCATAAACAAGATGTGTGTGTGCTATATTACTTTGAGAAGTCATTAAACGGAAAGACTGAAGGCTTAGTTCCACTGAGGACCCGTATGATCCTGGGCAAGGGATCTTAACTTCTCTGCTGCAATGTTATCTTTCTCACCTCTTGTAAAGCTATTTCACTTGTGAGATTCTCAGCTAGCGTCGATTTCTCACTTTGTGTTTGGACAGTGCTTAGCACAAACCCCACTACCACTGGAGTCCAAGTCTTACTTTAATGCACATAGACTATTATAAACTCCCTTTTCATTTAAGAACACAGAAAGCAGAATATTAGTTCTGCAAATTCCTCTTTTTTTCTTGCCATTTAGTGTGCCATTTAGGACCACACTAAAAACAAAAATATGCATCTTTATTGCAAACCAACAGCTTCCTCAGCACTATTCTAATATTGCTTAGCAAAAAAGGGCGAGAAGGAGAGAGCAAAGGCAGCAAGATTGAGCTCCTTTGATATCTAATTTACTCTACTTGATTCTCTTCAGCTTAATGAAGATAAATGTCCTACAGCTCATTCAAGCAGATAAGACTGCTTAATTAATAATACAATGACAGTCTCATGACAATTGTAATCCCCCAGAGTAATGGTCTACATATTCTGTTTTGAGCTCACATACAATCCCATCAGAAATAAGATGCTTCTGATAAAACAATAGCTTTTCTTGCCACATAAGTTATATGAACTTGCTCTGCAAGCAAAGCTCTATCCCATTCTACTCATATTTTCAAACAAAAAAACTACACATCATACCAAACATATAAACAGGACATCATATGCATGTTCATGAGTGCCCTACTAACCAGCTATGTATGCCATAGAAAAACTGACAGAACACAACTGAACTATACTTTCCATTCGGCAAAACAACCCCTAAATGCCCTCCTTATGTGGGTCAATGAAAAAAATTGTCAAAATAAATTAATATAAATTAATATATAAACTAGTAAATATCCTGTGCATTAGGGCATTTTAGTATGTTAAAACTCTATATACTAGCTACCAAAACCACAGGACACCAGTGGAGTGAAAGAACACCATCAATACCTGTACACATAAAAAATTTGGCTCCACTAACAAAAGCCATGTAATTGCTTTAAAACCTGTTAAAAACAAGATGCAGTATGTCATCATCTCTGAGTCTCCACAGAAAAAGGATAAGGCAAGCCTAATTCTATTTTTAAGTTAGAGCTTAAAGCCTCTTCCTAGTCACCAAAAAGCCCAAAAAAGTGCTAGCCAAAAAACAGCCAGAAACAAAACTTAGAATTTAATCCCCATATTTTGCTTCAATCAGAGCAATGGTACAAGCGGGCTAAAATTCGATACAAATGCACTCATTCTACTCCTCTCCATTGTTCCAATCTGAATAATGAGATGGAAATCCAAAAAAAACAACTCCCCCTGAAAAAAAAAAACACCATACCAAAGTCAGGGTATAGTATAACAATAATTGTATTTCAAGCAGAACAGAAACATGGTTGTCCAACTTACTCCAAGCAAGTTAAAAAAAGGGGGGAGGGGGACCAATTCCCACCTCTTCAACATGCCTGAAGTTCTAAAGCAAGACCTGAAAGAACTGAAGTTATTAATTCATCCACTTTTACTACGTGTACTTAAGACATTTATCTACATCAAACATACAGTCACTGTGTGATTAAAGCTGTTCAAACACAATACTTGGCTTTCTCCCAAACTCCAATAATACTTCTCTTGCTATATATAGTCTTCTCAGGATTTACATTGCTTTAAAGTGATACAGGGAGAAAAACAATCCTGATTTCAGAAACAAAACAATGGTCTCTGAACTGATATATCAGCAGCAAGACAGTCTCATGGAATTCTTACACTACCCCAACATCAAGCTGGTGCTCAAAGTTAAAAAAGCAAATCAAATACTAGGAAGGGAACAGAGAACAAACATCAGTACACCACTATATAAGCCCATGTTTTGCATGCATCTTGAACACTGTGCAGTTCTGGGTCCCCTTGCCACCAAAAATAATGTACCAATACTCAAGAAGGTTTAGGGAAAAATAGTGACAATGGTCAAAGGTGTGCAATAAATTTTGTATGAAAACAACAAAGTAAGCTAGGGTGCTTCAGCCTGAAAAAGTTAAAGAGAAAATAAGAAAACATGGCAGAGGTCCACAGAATAACAAGCAAAACGGACAGACTAGATACGGAGTGACTGCTGCCTCTTTCATACAAGAGCTAAATAACTAGCAGAACCATGACTAAGCATAAATGAAAAGGTATTTCTTGAAAAAACAGTTAATAGACCTATAGAAAATCCTAGCCAAAAGATGATGTAAATGCTGCAACTTTATTAGGGCTCAAAGGATAACTGAACAAGTTCATTGGCGGAGGGCAGGGAAAACAAACAACAAAAAAAAACCACCAAAAAAAATCCATTAATGGTTACTAAATATATGGAAACCACATCCAACTCAGGAAATCCCTGAGCTAAGAATAGTTAGAAGCTGGAAGAGGATTACAGAGTAGTGTAATGTGCATCTCTATCCTACACTTATTTGCTTGACCATCATTGGACAAAAGATACTGGCCTAGCGGCATCTTTGATCTGACCCACTACGACTATTCTTAAAGATCCTAAGTCATTCTTACAATACTTTTCCTTAAAAATGGTATACGTTTCAATATCCAACTAAAATTTTATTTCCTATCTAATTGTAGCAATTTAGAAGTTAAGAGGAAACACTACTTCTGCACGGAGTCATCAACTTTTGGTACCTTTCAAGTTCACAGGACACCTCTTTATTAGGGCAAGAGCAACCAAGTAACCAGCTTTCCCTAAAACAGTGCACTTTTGAGTACTCTTCCCTTTTGACTGACAATTTTTAAAGACTGTTGTAGCGAACAGCTCTTACAAGGCATATAAACCAATGCTTTTAAATAGAATCATGTCAACAAAATTCATTACTATATCCAAACCACTGCGGATCATTGTCCACAACTATGTCAAACTCCTCTGTCAAAGATGCTGCAGCAAATACTTTTACTACATCCTTTCTGAATTTCTCATCCTTTCTCCATCTTCATTACTAAGTGTTCCTAGTAGCTATCAGATCAAGGTGTCTGTTTCAACATGATCCTCCAGTCTACCAGAAATACAGGCTAGGGTACCATTTAAATAAGAATAGTAGTTCTACAGTGAATTTGATTTAAAATAGTAGTTGATATTACTTATAAATAACAATTTCTCCTAAAACAGTAGTAAAACCATTGAGACATATTTCTTATTTGTATTCTGGTAATGCCATCTGTAGATATATGAAAACAAAGCTCAGCTTTAGAAGAGTGAATTAAGACGAATGTATTCCAAGTTTCCAATAATTTTTAGGATTACTGATGAACTTGTTCATGCAGACTCCTTGTTTCTCACCTGTCTGTTCCGTTCATCCATTATCCTTGTGATCTGTATTTTCTTTCTCCCCATTTTCAGCCTCTTCTTTCTTTTGCTTTGCAATCCAGAAATATACTAATCCAAGAAATTTCACTCTTCAGTATTCTAACACATGATACAGTTTTCTTTTACTTTGCTTCAGCTTGAGAAAAGGTTCCTATTTCTTCTTACAAACCCCTAAAAAATAAAATTTGGAAAAAAAATTAATTTACAAATTAATAAAGAGGAAGCATCATTAAACACCTGTATAGCCATAAAACATGTGCATGCATAAAATAATTTCAGTGAAGAACCAAGTATTTCCATTAGTAAAATATTATACTACATACTTTCTTCCAATTAAATAAACTCCGACTAGTTTGCTTGATTCTAAATCTGTAGCTTGTAGGTAAGCCGCCAATAATTTCATACACTTTCAATTGGATGCCTTAAAAATATACAGTTGTCAAAGGGGGTGGCGCTCACCACTCTAAGCTTTAGGCCTTGAGTGATTTGAGGTTTCAAAAATTTAACCCACAAACTTGTGGCAAACTCCATTCATTATTTTAGGAAACCTTATGGAGAAACCGCTTTGTGTTTCCTGTTTGTCTTGTAAAATTATCATCATGATCACGAAACAAAGCCATGAGAATATCAAGTTTCTGTTCCTAAACTAAATTACATCTCATTTAGTAAGACAGTATTTGGAGTTTCATTGGAAAGCAGGAGGGAGAAAGAAAGAGGGAATATCTTCACCTAAAAAGGATAAAGACCACAGAAAATATTTTTGCAACAGAACTATTTCACAGCTACCAAGACACCAATGAATAATTAAGACATTCACACAGTTACTCCCTCTGCAATAACCTGTAAGACGCACATTTGCAATAACGAATTACCAGTCAGCACTTGTTTCATTTTGGTAAATTGTTTAGAAAGATAAGGGCACATGTGACTTCAAAAGCCAGTGTGCCATCATAATATTTTAATCTGGTATTAATGCACCAAACTGACTTGTAAAACACTGATATTTACCAAACTTTAAATGCATTTTTGGTAAAAAAAATTGCTAAGCCATATTCCAAACATACTGCTTGAACTGTAGGATAACATTAATTCAACAAAACTGGAGAACAATTGGAAAGAAATAGCCTCTAGAACATCAACTGTATACTAGAAAGTATAAACATGAAATAGGTACACCTTATTCTATCACCACCTAATACTCATTAAAATAAAAGGGGTAAAACCAGCCACAATATTAGCTTATATTCTCTCTAACTTTCCAACCCAAAACGTCTTTTGAAATCAAGCCTTGCATATTTTAATACGGGTGTCACAATGCCATATCCTTGAGGCCATGTGTAGAAAGTGGTGCAACCACATCACCATCAGACAGCTAATAAGTAGAGACAGTAAGAGGCAATTAGTCACAGGCTACACTTCACAATACATTCAATTTACACTGAGAAAACAACCATGACTTTCTGATGCAGCTTGGGAGGAAAAAAAGAAAAAAAAAAAAGAGGTGGAGGAACATCACAAAACAAAGGGATGTCATTTTATATTTACCTGATATCAACAAAGGACTGCTTTCGTAAAACATCACAAAAATGCCCAACAGTATTTAGAAATACTACTCCATGGAATTTAAGATCAAATCAACACTAACATTATGTGACGTCCATTGGTCAAAAGGATATGCACTAGACATTGGTTATACATCAAAACATTTAAAAGCATGCATCAGCATTGCATTCCTTTTATTTTCTTCAAGAAAAAAAATTCTTCCAAAGTGCTGCTAAAAAGGTATTAATAGCTAGCTAAGGCCAGATGAACAAGCCTCTATACAACGAATAGCACACAGCAAATATTCTACATGGAAAGCAACAGCTGGCATATAAATTTATACCTTTTTGTTGAAAAAAAACCACCAAGAATATGCACTGGACTCAAGAATATGCACTGGACTCTAAGCTTCAATTCATAAAACATTCAGTCTTAAGTCAGCTACCCCACTCTCAAAAAAAAACCCCACACAAAAACAAAACAAAAACAACAACAATACCACAAAACCTCAGCTCACGCTATGATCACACATTAAATTTAATTCCGCAAAAATCTGGTTGCATTCCTTGAACATATCTAATAAAAGGGTCTCTATAAGCAGCTCTTAAAATTTCATTTCTCCTTCATGTGTGGCTTCATTTTTTAAATATACCATACATTATTGAAACAGTATTCTGAATACAGAATTACCAGATTATTTCCTCTGCTTTTTAAAAGCATTCACTATCCTAACTAGCACATACAAATAGCTACCATATGTGAGACCAAAGATCCACCTGGTCCAGCATTTTATGCATGGCTATCAGGAAATATCGCTAGGATGGTAAAGGAAGGACATAGGAATAGAATAGACATATATCACTTAAAAGCAGTATTTATAAAGCATTTTCTCCAGATATTCAGTGATTTTTGAAACAGGAACTTGTGAAGTCATATACAGAATCTCAAATTCAAAGCTGTTCATCAAATCTCCTTCCATGAATACTACTTTTGAATCTGTGTAGATTTTTAGCACCTAGAAGCAAGGAGTTCCACAGCTTAGTTATGCATCAGAGTAGAAGAGACATCCTTTCATTTAAGCCTGATCCTGCTAATTATATTTGGTATCCACAGATTTTTAATTATACGCGGCAGTACACAGTCATCTTCATCTTTCATGTTAGTCCTGATTTTGATGCCTATATTATATCTTCCGTCAGTTACCTTTACTCAAAACTAAAGAATCCTACTCCAATCAACCATTTCTTACACAAAAGCCATTCTCTGGCCAGCTATCCTGTCCTCCTCTTTACCCTTTCCAGTTACACACTGTTCTTTTTCTGAAACAGAAGGACACACAGTGTGTACAGTACACAAGATGTGAGGTATATAAAATTTTATTATAATCTACCATAAATTTATACAGAGGCATAACAATATTTTATGTTCTACTGCATTAGACATACACGTAGGCAAATTTACTAGTTCTCAAAATTTTCCTAAGGAAACAGACCTATGCTCCAGAACATAATTTTAAATTCCCTACGTGGGACCACACACTTCCTTCATACAGTTCTGTCTCATTCACTCAGCTCTTCCACCTTCTGCAACAGATATTCAAAAGCAAGTCTATGCAGTGAATAAAATAAGGAGCTCATGGGAGAACAGGGTAGAGAGGAAGAGAAATATGATGTGAGATTATGCAATACATATTCTTAAGGATACAAAATAAGAGAAATGCACAAACATTTTCCATGAGCTAATGGAAGAAACAACAGCAGGGTAACACTATTATCTGCTCCACGTACCATCACACAAAGGGAAATGGGAAAACTGACAGTAATTTTCGCCAACATTTTGTTATAGTTTTGGGGTGTTATTTCAGGTCTTCTAAAATTAGCATGCTCTATTAGGCATAAATGCATCAACCCATTTGCCATTTACGACTTCTGCTTCACCCTCTTTAATCAGTCCACTGTTGCCTCTCATCTCATCTTCAACCTCACATGCTTTTGTCACTTAGCAAATTCCAAATTCCTATTTGCATGTCAGTCCCCATCTGGGTCCAGCCAGCGACAGCCTCTCCTCCCTCTCCACAGGTTGCTATGGACACCAGAAACCTGGCTTTGAAACACATTTGCCAAAGGCAACCCAGCTCTGAAATACAGCATCCCTTTCATTTTGAAGTCACGTACAAGATGATTTCAAAGCTAAGAACTGAAACATAAGTTTGGCATGAGCCTAGGGTAGAAAAGATCTTGACACCAACTGCAAAATCAGAGTAAATTGTGCAGTAAAAAGCCACTTTTCGTGCGTGTCAAAACATCCAAATGGGAAGTCACCACCAATGACAAACGCACGTTAAATTTCTTATGCAAAAATATTCCCTCATGATTGCGTATTTTTAGCAACTCAGATCAGTTCGTTTGTTGTCAAGGTTGCTTCCGGTTTCATAAATAGCAAGAAATATACAACTTTAAAGCAAGGAAACTGTATTTGACGTATTTTAAAAGATTCTTTCAAGGGTTCAATGGAAACAAATTATATCTGTGCAGAACTCCACAAGATCTTGAAGCCTTCTGGCAGAACAGGTTAGGAAAAACTGTGTCAGAATTATATTCCTTCCATTTATTTTCCTTTTACTTCCCTCTGCCTCTTTGTTTTCTTGGAACTTCCATTTCGCCATCACGGTTACAGGTCACATTTGACAGTAACCATCTCATCACAGCTCATTTACTGCAATGCACATAAAGAAATTAGTACCATGATGCCAGATAATTTGCATGATAACTCTCAAAAGCCACAGCTGCATGAAAACACAGATCTGTATAGATCTATCTTACACTTGTAAGCTTTAGGTAAGGCTTACTAAATAGCAGACAATAATTTTGACTAAATTAAGGTCAATAGGTTTTTTTCTAGTCTTAAAGGAGTCTGTGCAGATATTTTTGTAGATTTGGCCCCTAAGCATGAACTGATGGGCATAGACGACACAACCAAATCACAGCCAAACTGTACATTCACTGGTAATTCTAACACTTTGCATGCTTACCAAGGATGTGACCACAATATAAATATTCCCATACACATCAAGACACAGACAAGGCCCATCACCAGGTGTTGACTGTTTTACATTAACAAGGCAGATAACACAGAGTATCTCGTTTTTGCATAGTACCTGTAAACATGTAAGTGTCCCCCCCTCCCTGCCCCGTAACTCTGAGTGGAAAGAGCTAGAAAAAATTAAGTCAAATCATGTCTTCACCAAAATAATTAATCAAAAGGTTAATTAGAAGGTTCTCAGACTCCATTTCACTGTCCAGAAATAAGAGATAAGAACATTTTCTTCTTCATAACCTCAAAGAAAATGCAAACCCATGTAAAGTAAGTATACAACTCCAGACACCTTTTCTTCTAAATCCCAAACTAATTACACAAAATAAATTCATTCAGACTTGGATCTGCACTGAAACATGTTGAGAGCCATGGGATGTTATTACTGTGCTCTAGACATTCTACCAGCCCTGCTCCAAAATTTATTGCTACCACTTTGAAGCTAGATTTTAAAATTAAGATTTCAAGCAAAAGGACTCCGTCTCCCTCTATGTTTGCACTTAACAGAGATCATGCTCAGATTCTTGCTGGGGTTT